CTTTCCTCCCGTTCGACACAATTTAGATAATTAAGGGGGCTGGCTTCCGGCTCTAATTGTCAGGGCCAACCCTGGCTGAGAGGGATACAACAACATCCCAGCAGAAAGACCGAGATTCCATAAGAAAATTCTCCCAACTCGGGATTCGAACACGGGTCACCTGCGTGAGACATCAAAACGTCCAACCGCTGCATTACAGACCCATAATAATATAATGGTTTCTTAGTTAAGATCTAGATAGAGTATCATGACCCTTACAACACAAATAAGCCATATATATATAAGAGTCGATGACAAGAGGTGTTACTAGAGAGTAACAAACAAAAATAAAAGGAAAGAAGGAGACAAGAGGACGATGGATGTTTGACATTAAAGAAGGCGTAAATCACTTCATAGCACCCGCCAGCCGCCCACGATTTTTAAGATAATGACATGATTGTATGCTAGACTCTAACAAATATAAACCATCTGCATATTCAAGAATACACTACTATAATAATATTATCATAGCTATAAAAACGCGTATATTTTACTAATTATATTACGCCCTCATATCTGATCCCCTCGTTATTGCAACAATTAATCCGCCCACTCTAATCGCCACCCACCACCGACTCGGCTCTCCGCACGAGGGGTTATAATTAGATTCACGTGACATCACGTCAGCGGCGTCAAAACGGAGTGTGATATTGAGTTACCCGGCGAACAACGGCGTACAGAGAGAGAGAGAGAGAGAGAGAGAGAGAGAGTAACATGACGTTGTAGTTGCTGTTGCTCTTGTCGCCGCTGATTCTTTGACACCATCCTCCATACAGATGAGAGCAACAATTGTTTATACCTTATGTTTGCGGAAAACAAAAGAAACAACCAATTACTCTATGGAGAGTCAAGGCAGACCCACCCCCAGCCCCCCCCCCTCCCCCCAAAAAAAAGAGAGAGAAAAACTTTTTTAAAATCCTTCCCATTTCACCTCCTTTGTTTTGATACCCACACGCCAGACATCCTTCCTTTTAAACCATATAAATAAAACAAAACAAAATAAAGTAAAAAAACGAAAGAAAGTAAAAACTAAACAAAACGAAATACC